CACATGCACAACGTTGCTGCTGTACCAGCTGAGGTGCAGCTGTGTTTGGATTTGGCTCTTCTGTCTGACATGAAGCAACATTGGGCATGAAAGCACAGCACTCTACAGCCAAGAACCACAGAGTATCATGAAAAGACATTAGTAAGTGTCTGTGTGAAGTTGTGCCCAGAGTATAGGGTGGAATAAAACACCCTTGTAAATTTTATCAACCTAAGGGTTTGAAGCAACTTTTGCAGCATAAATTTGTATTTCAGAACACATAATATACTTGATACTAACATTTTTAATAAAATACACAAACCAGATTCTAGGAATAACACGATAATAATAACCTACATTTACTGCAAACCAAAGGTTTAAAAAAAAAAATCCCAAACAAAGTGGCTAACTTCAGATGTGCGGTGAGATTAACCTGTAGATTGATAAGAGTATGCCAAAATTTTCAGCATATTTTAGGTTGTTGTCCTCTGTAGATGCCAAGAGGAAAAAGCTCCCTCAAAGGGAAATGTTAAGCAGAGGGGCGAACATTAAAGCCATGGGGGAAACTTTAAAAAGCAAACAGGGTGATTTTAAATTGGTAAAAAGTCAATGAAAAACTAAAATGCTGCAAGCTTTAGACCAGATAGTCAAGACACATCAGATGTAATTTCGTTACATAAAAGCAGGTCTACAGAAATGAGTGTTAGGAAGGGATTTTAAGGAATTCACTGATTCTGCAAGACAAAATAGAAAAAAAAAGAGAGAAAAAAAAGAAAAGAAAAGAAAAAAGAACAAGAGCAGAAAGAAAGAAGAGAAAAGAAGAAAAAAAAAGACTTCTTGTAATCCTTATACGAGACGATTGCGGATGACTGACGCAGTCAGTGTTAAAATCTGTTAACATCAGCTCATTGTGTAATGGAGTGTTGTAATATTGACCTATAATTGCCCCCAAAATAGGTACTCATATATGCAATCATGGAGACACAAAAGAAATGATCATCATGTGGTGCATATTTAAACCATAGAAAAAACTTTTCAAAGTGTTTCATTTTATGTTTTCTTAAAAAAGAAAAGAAGAAAAGAAGAAGGACCTAATAGATACTTAATAGATACTTTTTCATAACAGGCACTAACTGGTCATAGTTTACACATGTACTAGCTGGGTTTTTTTAGCATTGTTCTACCATTGTTCAGTATATCTAAGACACAATCAAAACGATACTACCATCAGTGTCCAATACTGAAAAGAATGGCAGCACTGTTGTGCACCACATGCAAAATTGAGAGTAAACAGAGGGTTTGTTGACAGCACGCTATATCTTGTTTGGGTTTAGCCTCAAGGCACATTGCTCACTTATCAGTAGAAAAAATAATCTCGGTACTCTCTTTTGTGATGGATTCGATAAATATCTTCTGACTTGTGCTAAACCGCCTTAAGCAAAATTGACAGTGTCTGTTGTAATATAACTTCGAACAACATGCAAAATTAGGAAACATATTCAAAGTAAAATGACAAATATACAATAAATGTTTCATCTCCCTCCTGTTTAAATACATAGAGACAATATTGTCTGAATGAGTATCAGCAAAACACTGATGAAGAAATACACTAGCATGATCCTACAATGATATGTACAACAGTCAAAACTCACTGGTTTTATTATCCCTTACTGTTTCACTATTAACATAATATTTGGTTTAAAAATCTGTAGTTTCGGTATGTAACGTTTTGTAATGTGTCATCTCATAATCACAGAGTTGATTTGGGAATTTTCTATCTGTGCTGATCTTCTCCTGAGTCATGTCATCCTAAATATAACTATTACTGAGTCATCAGCTCAAGGAAGTAGTTGCTTAACACACCCACTCAACGATACTTCCACTCCACAGCCTATATAACACCAGACTTCAATGTATGCACACAAGTCAAAACAGTGAAGAAGTATGAGGTCTCTCACCGGGTGTATTCTGTTCAGTCTGGCGACTGCAGTTCTCTCTGCGCCGATTTCTGAAGTTTCTGTGGAAGATGAAAGTTTTGCAAAGGTATGTATATGTTTCCTTTGCTTGTCCTATAATTGTAACACAAGTCCTAGGACTATGGGGTATTAAGAATATTGTTCAAATCTCATGTTTTTTGACAGAACTACCTGAAGAAATTCTTCAACCTCACAGAGGAGGAGGGTCCAGCTGGCAGAGGGGGCATCAGCCCGTTGAACAAGAAGCTGGCTGACATGCAGAGATTCTTTGGTCTCCAGATCACCGGGTCTCTGGATGCTGACACTTTGGCCATGATGAAGAAGCCCCGCTGTGGGGTTCCCGATGAACAGGTTGCTCGTTTCTCCATTTTTAGAAACAAATGGGAGAAAAACAGCCTCACATACAGGTGAATGATCTAAAGACACAACATAACACACAACATGAGAAAATGTGACCACACTAATGATTTTCTTGGATATTGTTGTGCTCTGCAGGATCGAGAACTACACACCTGACATGTCTGTGGCAGAGGTGGATGACTCCATAGACAAAGCTCTGCAGGTGTGGGCCAAAGTCACTCCACTGAGGTTCACAAGGATCTACAGCGGCATTGCTGATATTATGATCTCCTTTGCTCGCTGGGGTGAGTGCAAATTTTTTCAGCAATGGAAGATGCACTCAGATAACATCATTATTAAAAATATGAGTCTAAAACAATAGAAAATAGAGTATGGATAGGTTACTCAGAATCAGAATACCCTAAAGAAATGATGTACTTATACACACAATACCTCTAATCGGCATTATATTGTATTACATAGAGTTATATATGTGTTAGATTGACTGTTTGAATCCACTTGGAGATAACTATTTACCAAATGTTTCATGTCAATGTGTGCACAAAATGGTTTGTAAATTTTGGCTTGTTCGCCTTATTTAACAGAACATGGTGATTATAATTCCTTTGATGGGCCCAGTAACACTCTCGCCCACGCCTTTGCTCCCGGTGATGGTCTTGGAGGAGATGCTCATTTTGACGATGATGAATCTTTCACGTTCCGATCAAGCCGTGGTGAGGTTTTCACTTATCATTTTTCCTTTTTTGATCTTTACGTGCTGTGATTTTAGAAAATAACTGCATTGTCGCACTGAGTCCTGTAACCGACCTGCCATTATGTGTTATCGGCTTCAGGCGTTGTCCTCTTCATTGTCGCCGCCCATGAGTTTGGTCACTCTCTGGGCTTAAGTCATTCCAATGTCCCTGGTGCCCTAATGTACCCAACGTACTCCTACAGAAACCCTGACACCTTTGTTCTGCCTCAGGATGATGTTAGGGGCATTCAGTACCTCTATGGTGAGTACTGAGGGTCTGAATATTGCTTTGGTATTGCTGCTCGTTTTGACCTTTGGTGGATTATGAAGCAGGGGTTCCCAAAACATATCTTTTAAATTCTAGGTTCAAACTCTGGGAAGGATCCCTCTGTGGATGATCCCAAACCTCCCACTACTCCTGATGCCTGTGATTCTACCATGGTATTGGATGCTGTCACAACCCACAGAGGAGAGATTATCTTCTTCAAAGACAGGTTTCAGATATGCTCCGCAGCAGAGTGCTAAAACATCTAAATCCACAGCTTAGTAACTATTGTTTGATGGCTCATGTTTGCCTCTATTTATTATCAGCTTCTTGTGGCGTAGCTACCCCCAGAGCCAGACTCCACAGCAAAGCCTCATCAGAAGCTTGTGGCCCAGTGCCCCTGTGGACATCGATGCTGCGTATGAGAGACAACAGTTAGACACAGTGTTTCTGTTCAAAGGTACCGGTTTCTCCTTATCTATGTAAGAAACACATTCCATATTTTAGAATCTAACTTAAGCGTTTTCAATCATTTTCTACAGGTCGCAAAGTGTGGGCCTTCACTGGCAACCAGCCCGTGCGGGGCTACCCTAAAACACTAACTGCTTTTGGTCTGCCAAGAGGAGTGAGGAAAATCGACGCTGCCCTTCATGATGTAAACTCTGGCAAAACTCTCTTCTTTGTAGGCAATAATTACTTCAGGTGAGTTGAAAGTTTACCAGTTCCAATTTTCACTGTGAGCTACTCTATACCAGCGGTCCCCAACCCCCGGGCCGGTCCGTGAGTTGTTTGGTACCGGGCCACGAGAGTTGAGGCTCAGGTGTGAAATGTATAGTTTTCAGGGTTTTTATCGGTTTTCAGCGTTATTTTGTTATCGTTTTTATCGTTTACTCGGTTTTCCTTGGTCTTTTCACGTGTTACGTGTTATGAATAAATTTTCTTTTTTTCGGTACCGGTACTAGTTTTATTTTATTGTATTTATCCGCGACACCTTAAAGGCCGGTCCATGAAAATATTGTCGGGCATAAACCGGTCCGTGGCGCAAAAGAGGTTGGGGACCGCTGCTCTATACTATTAACGTCAACTGGATCAATCTATTTTCTGTTTTTCTCCAGTTATGATGAGTCCAGAAAGACTATGGAGCAGGGATATCCCAGACCGGTGAATCAGGCCTTTACAGGCCTGACCAGAAGAGTTACAGCAGCTTTCCAGCACAAAGGTGAGTGGTCCTCACTGCTAACCTGAAATTAGAGATTTTAAAAAAATGTCTTGCCAGACTAAAAGTCATGCTACTGTCATTCTAATTTCCACACTTTTAACATAACAGCAGAACCAGAAGCAGCTCTAAAACTCTTGAAAACTCTTTAACACTTAAACTATACGCTCCAGTGTAAAACTGAAAAGTGGCACCTACTTTATAATGAGTCTAAAAACATAACCTCCCCGAATAACAGTTAAGTATTAAGTACTGAGCTTAGAGACAGTAGTAGGTGGATTTTTTTTGGCAAAGTCTGCTGGCTGTATTTATGCTTTAAGCTAAGCTAACCGTCTTTTAGCTTAGTATAACCAACACATGAAAGCAGTGGCCTCATGTATATCGTTGAATTAAGACAATGTATTATTTTTGTGAACCATTTCTTTAACTAGTATTTACACTAACACTAAGCCATTGTTCTGCAGGTTACACTTACATTTACAGTGGACCCTACATGTTTGAGTACGACCTGGGGACTGGGACACGGCACCGTGTGTTGAGGAACAGTTACTTCCTGCGCTGCACGAACCACTAGACGAATCGGTCTTTGTTTTTACAATATGTAGTAATTGTGCAAACTAAGACAAAAATCTGTAAACAAAGCCTACAGTATTATTCAAGTACTTCACTGAAAATGTTTAAACTGCACTTTTCTCAGTTTCTTTTCAAACATATAATAAAAGTGGGGCTTAAGGAGTCAGTACTATAATCTATAAATATATGATCTACACAGCCTTGCCTCTGCTAAATTATTTTGATCCCAGATGGACACAAAATCTTTGCCCTTGCCTGAGTAATTCATTGTACTTTAACAACAGTTACAGCTCAAATAAGATTGTTTTAGTGCTGCAAGTTTTGCTGAAACAAAACAAAACTAGTTTAAACTGGAAACAACTAAATTAAAAACTGATATTGGTATCCTGATATGACTGAACACCCTCTAAAGATTTTGAGAATATTAAAGAGAAATTGAACCACTGACCAAGTAGTATTATGTTAAAGGGGGATTTAATACTGCATTGTACTACAGCTGCAGAAGGTATGAGATTGATGAGCACTGCATTAAGTAATTAATTTTGAGAATATTTTAATGACCTTCTAAATGCAGCTTCAAATGTATTTTCTAAACGTGTTTTGTTGTAATTGCTCAAATGACTTCATTTAAAAGGAGCATTCACTAATAAATACACTAAATGACTTCATTGTCTTTAGACTGTTGTTTCTTAACTCTGATATGAAAAATGACTGTATGAATTTTAAATAACTGATGGTTACATGTCTTATTTATATAAAAGCTGAACTGTTTAAAAACATCTGATACTTTTTGGTTATTATATCCAATATAAATAATACATTCTCACACAATATAATAAATACATTACATGGCTTCTTGGCATAACAATACATCTGTACGGAGCAGAATGTCATCGTCATGGGTCATTGATTCAGTGCTTTGTGTTCGTGGACTTCTTGACTTCTTCATTATGATGTTTCTAGAGTGACTCATATTTATTAATTTAGTTTTTCTTGGAAAAAGAAGAAAAAACAACCTCTGCTTACCACACAGCCAGACCCTGACACAGAAATCTGTAAATACACACACACACACAAAGACACACACCCACACACACACACACGGTGCTGATGAAATACCCTGATGTCCTGCTTCAAGGCTTTTCAGACTGAAATCAACATGTTCTTGTTGATGAAGAGAACATGCATGAACATGACATAAATTCCTTTACATGCAGATCTAAGGAATATATCTCCCCCTATAGACACACACACACAAACACATTCCTGTTGTTCTGAATAGGCCTGACACTTGCAGGAATGCTTTATGGTAATGCTGGTCTTATTCACAACACTGGCACTGAATATTTCCATAAAAAATATGCAACTAGCTCATTATAAGCTTTAAAGTCTTTTCCACAGCATTGAAACATAGCTGCTAATCATGTTAATAATCTGACCTTTGCTGAAGGTAAGCTTGTGCTCCATATTATAGTGAATACTTGGATTATAATTCTTTAAATGATCAGATAATGATCAGCTTGCAGTGCAGGGAATTATGTGTCATTTTGCATGAAAATACTTTTGCATATTTCCAAATATGCTGACAACGTATTAACTGACTCATTGCACTCTCTAACCTAGTCTGAAATAGTTAATACCAGCAATTAAACTATACATTTTAAATTGTTATTATTTTAAGGGAAACATTAACCTAACCAAAGATACAATGGCATAAATTAGGCCTCCTTCTTCTTTGATTTCTTCTTCGTACTTTCCTGCCAGACAAAAATGCATACTGGTAATACATATGATGAGGGACTATCAAAATAAAACAGAAAACCAACACTGACACACAGACTGAGACATACCAGCTTGACACAGACAAAAAGGAAGACAGAGACAGAGGGACCAGTCAGACATGGGGTAATGACTGGGGGAACAGAACATAAATAGACTACTATTTAATAGGACAAAATATATGACGAGAGAAAATAGCAATGCACTTGTAATACACACACCCCAGACTTAAATACAAGAGCCCAAACCTCACACGAAACCCAAAATACTGACTCAAAGTCCCTGGACCATGAGAGAATCAATTTATATTCTACAGCCATTTCTTCATTAAGCAGAAACGTTTCCTATTGGCACTTAAATGAATAAACAATAAACAGTGGAACTGGAACCTGTGAAATACTGTAAAATAAAATATTTATTTATATTTTTTAAAAATTATCAGGGTACATGTGATTACTGTGTGTTGATCTTAATATATATATATATAACCCAATATATTTTATTTAAGCAATACACATTGGGTGCTGTGGATGAAACTACAATAACTACAATGCTTAGCCAAAGATGACGTGGGAAGCACACCTCCTCCTGTGATTGGCTGATGCGTTTAGTCGTGCGCTGCTGAAGGTGAAGCGTCAGTTCTGTGTCTCAGTCCAAAATGTCATCCAGTGGACTTTTAACAATGCACGCTCAAATCTGTAAACGTCTGGTAAGTGATGAGCTGTGAAACTGGCATCTTAGGTTTGTGGTCATGTTGTTGTAAGGCACAGGAAGGCTAGGCTAGCAGCACAGGGCCCTGATTAACGTCCAGTAGCTGTGCTAACCTTGCTCTCTGTGTGTGTGTGAGTAGCGTCCTTGGCAGGTTAAAGTAATGCAAACACCTGAAAACATACTGTACTTGTAGCTGGTTGGTCAGAGTACTTTAAAGAAGCAGCAGTAGTATGCTTTACTGGCTTCAATACAGTCGACAGTGTACCATAAAGGACTAGTTGACACCAAAACAGGCTAGCTATAGCATCAGCTGCAGCTAGCTTAGTTAGAACTCAAAGCGCCCACAAAGAGTACCATTGAAACTCTAGCTCCTGTCACTTCATTAGGCAGCAGATATTACCTGAATACCTGCCTTTATTGTCATATTTTTCACGGTGACAGTTTTATTCTAGAGCTTGATTCTAACGTATGATGTTCGGGTCTGTGGGACACCTTTTCATTGTTTAGTAAACGTAAAGTTTTTCAGATTTATCATTATTTCAACAACGGCTAGTTTTCTGTGAAGAACATATAAAATAACCCATTTTTAATGATCTCGCACTGTAATCGTGTTTGACACGTTTCGCCCCAGTTATGACAGATGGCTTAGCTGCTACTTCTGGACAGGTGAAGCGGCAGGATTTGGGTTTGTTGTTGTTGTGTGCGTTTGTTTGTTTGTTTTTCCCCGGGACGGAGTCATGTGCGCTGGTGTTTGTAATTATTAAGTGAATGTTTTTAATTAAGACAAACGGGCACGTGCACATGTAAGAAAATTAATACTAGATCTCTCATTGTTATTTATGCTGTGGATTGTGAAGACTAATATAGAGTATTCATTCACTAAAAAGTGTAATTGAATAAATATGATTTTACTGGAATTATTATTTGCTCATGCAAGTTTTTTACTTTTAACAGAAAATGATATTTGTTGCATCAAGTGGCTTCACACACAGTCTAACATCCTGCACATTCAGAAACGTATTATTTTGACTGTAGTAATGAAACCAATGAAAATTAAAGAATTGTAGTGCTATTACTATAAAATAATATCATTTGTTACTATTTGTTAATAACAAATTAAATTTGTCATTACAAATGAGTCCTTGACCTCAAAAAACAAAAAAAAAACTTCTCTTTCTTTTTTATTCCCACTAATTCTCTGGGTGTAAATGTGTCATAAAAACAGGAGAGCTGCATGCAGATGCAGTTTCAGTGTAATTAAAAACGCAGACTCAGACTGACACGTTGCAAAGGTTCAGGAGCAACCTCTTAACTGTGTTGTGTTTGCTTAGATTCAAAAAGGTATCTAAAACATCAGAGCTGCTTCTAGCTTTGTTTGGCAGTGTGGAACAAACCTGATGATGGAAAGTGTCAGACGACTAAAACATCAACTAAACACATCCAAACTCTTTTTTTTTTTTTACAAAGCTGAGGAGGTGACTTGGAGGTAAAAAACCAGGCCAACTCAGTCTGAAAGCTGAAAACCTGTGTGGCTGTCACAATCAATATAGCCCTCGTTTGTCAGTATGTTTAATTCTATAAATTGTTTTAAATAAGTACTCTGCTCTTTACAGTCACAGCTTGTTGTCTTTAACAGTCTCAATGTTTTTCTTTCCCTGTTTGTGTGGGATTTAGCCGCGATAACACATGCTGTTTTCATAATTATCAATAGCCTGATATAACAAGTACCCTTATTTAGACTTGTGCAGCAGCTGCCTGTGTTAATGTTTCACAGAATAGGATTATGAGACTGTGACAATAGTTAAAAGTGGCCAGCAGATGTTACGGTAGAGACGGGTGTCAGAAAGTTTCAAAGCCTCAGGACGTTTGAACGTTTTAGTGTTTCACAAAACCTGTTTCTACTATGTGGTGTATACATATGGTAAATGGTAAATGGCCTGTATTTGTATAGCGCTTTTACTAGTCCCCTTAGGCCCCCCTAGTGCTTTACACACCCAGTAATATACACATTCACACACTGGTGGAGGCAGCTACAGTTGTAGTCACAGCTGCCCTGGGGCAGACTGACAGAAGCGAGGCTGCCATATCGCGCCATCGGCCCTTCTGGCCAACACCAGTAGGCGGTAGATGAAGTGTCTTGCCCAAGGACACAACGACCGAGACTGTCCGAGCCGGGGCTCGAACCAGCAACCTTCCGATTACAAGGCGAACTCCCAACTCTTGAGCCACGATCGCCCATGTGTGTTTTGTGTTTCTGCTCCTCCTTTTTCCAAACAAGGTTCAAACATTTCAGTCACCTTCATCTGCCTGTTCTCGCGTTCTTGTAATTCTCCATATCGTTGAAAGGATTCTCTGATTGGGGAGTTTCAGGACTTTTAGACAAGAGAGAACATTTGGAAGATAACAGACGGGAAGAGGTTTCAGAACATGAGTCAATTTGCCTTTATTGGATAGAACAGTGCAGAAAGTAGACATCAGGGCAGGGCGAGAGTGAAGGGGTATAACACACAATAAATGATCTGGGGCTCTAAATTCCATACGTTGGTCACTTCCTCAGCCAGGTGAGCCAAAGCAGCACCATCAGTTCAGAGTCTGAAAGTGAGCACGAAGACAGGATTTGACACTGAACACCTGCCCCAAAGCAAACTCTTGGATATCAAAAATGGTGAGACTGAATAGTCTCCTCGTCCAAAGAATGAGCCATTCAGCTTGGCTGGTAGCGTGGTGCAACCAGGGCCAAGACAAATGGTGGTCCATCTTGTGGAGGGCATCAAAGCTGATTTTTACTCTTCATCCAATGTCAGTAGATGTTCCCTGATTTGATCCGTAGCAACAGAAAGACAAGCTGCAATGTGTGTGTCAGAGGTGGACGGCAAGTAGTACATATGTAACACACACTGTTGTATAAGGTAGCACAAAAAGGCTGCTTGTAGATGATATATCAATCTGTTGAAAGATATAAATGTCAGTAGTGATGACAGTTTGCTGCCTTTATATTTGATTCAATTTTCTATTTCTATTACATTTTATGACCAAAAATCAAACAGCATATTTCATAAATGGGATTCAATAGAAGTAAATAACCAAATATTAACCATATATATGGTCTATCTATATTACTTAGACTTGGGGTAAAATAAACATCTGTTAAGTACTTTTAGATACATTGTTATGGTTGTATTGGTTAATAAATCCCCTAAATGTGTTGGGTCCATCAGACCCACAAAACAAAGGTCAGACACCTGTCATAGGCATTATATCAGCTGAATAATTCAATTCAATTCAATTTTATTTATATAGCGCCAAATCACAACAAAAGTCGCCTCAAGGCGCTTCATAGATACAGAGAAAAACCCAACAATCATATGACCCCCTATGAGCAGCACTTTGGCGACAGTGGGAAGGAAAAACTCCCTTTTAACAGGAAGAAACCTCAAACAGAACCAGGCTCTTATGTTCACTTATTATTTATAACACTTATGATCTTGTCACTGTAGGCTCACAAGTATCTGTCAAGAACCTACACATCTCATCCTTCCCTCAATGTAAGTACTATCACTGAGAGCCTGCACTGACAGTTAATCCTCTGTAGAGCACAATAACATATATACACTAAATGTATGGTCATAGGAAGTCGTCATTGTCAGCGCAGTCCGCACTCCGATGGGATCCTTCAAAGGCAGCCTAGCTTCAGTTCCAGCCACCAAACTGGGCTCTGTTGCCATCAAGGGGGCCATTGACAAAGCAGGTATGTTCGGCCACTTCACTTTCACTGCTCGGACCGATCCACTTTCCTCTGTTGCTAGATAAACATCAGCTGATGCTGTGTCCAAACAATAGGTTGAGTATCTGTCTCTCATGAGTGGAAACAGGGCTGCATTAAAACTGAGGCAGCTGTGCACGTTCAGTATGTTGCCTTTGTGTTTAGGAATTGCTCCGGAAGAAGTGAAGGAAGTCTACATGGGCAATGTGCTTCAGGCTGGCGAAGGACAGGCCCCCACACGACAGGCCTTGCTCGGAGCAGGTATGACCACTCGGCTGTATTTAACCCACAATATTGATACATCTGTGCTGCCTTGAGGGATATTTTTGAGTCTGCAATATGAATTATTCCCAATTTCTTGAGCTAAACATTGTTTTTTGAATATTATCTGTTGACATTGGAGGCAAATTGGCTGCACTTTCAAATGTGCATCCAAGCAGAATCCAGAGCTGGTGAGAAGATGTCCTCATCTAATTTCTGTTTTAGTAAGAATGATGTGTCTGATTGCCTCTACAGGACTGACCCTCAGCACACCAGCAACAACCATCAACAAAGTCTGTGCGTCTGGGATGAAGTCCATCATGATGGCAGCTCAGAGTCTAATGTGTGGACACCAGGTATTATCAGCATTAAATATGCAAGGTGTAACAAAACACGAGTGCAGATTCTTCTGAAATACTGCATCTTTTGCTGTCATGCTAGTACTCGATCACAGATGTGATCCTGATAAATGCAGAAATGCACGTGTTTATCAGGACTGAAAGAAACGTTTGTTTATAATGGGCTATTCCGGCTTTGTAATGCAAATTACTCTGACTGTAGTTCTATATGTGTGACTTAGGATGTGATGGTGGCAGGAGGCATGGAGAGCATGTCCAATGTACCTTATGTGATGGCAAGAGAGACCCCATCCTACGGAGGAGTGAGGATGGAAGACCTCATTGTGAAGGACGGACTCACTGATGTCTACAACAAATTCCACATGGTGATCCTCATGTCTACTTATTATTGGAAAATTATAAGGCTTATGTGCATTTAGAGCATTATAATATTGTTGCTCTCTTACAGGGTAACTGTGCAGAAAACACAGCCAAGAACTGCAAAATCAGCAGAGAGGAGCAGGACGCGTACGCCATCAACTCATATAGCTGCAGCAAAGCAGCGCACGAGGCCGGTGTGCTGGCAAAGGAGATAATACCTGTTACTATTCCCCAGAAAGGTACAGGAAGATGGGAATAACATGTTTGTCTCGGCCCAGTGACTTTAATTAGTGTTATTGCACAGCTAATGTTGTTGATGGGGTTTTGCAGGCAAACCTGATGTGGTGGTGTCTGAGGATGAGGAGTGGAGACGGGTCGACTTCAGCAAAGTCCCCAAACTGAGGGCTGTGTTCCAGAAAGAGAACGGTAACGATGAGTTATAGAGCAACATGAAGCTGTGTGAAGCATCCACATTCTTCTTGCACTTTAACACTAATTAAAATAATTCAATTCAATTCAATTTTATTTATATAGCGCCAAATCACAACAAAAGTCGCCTCAAGGCGCTTCATAGAT